TACTTATACTTAAACCTGTGAAAACCATAAAAGAGCAAGTTAAGATGCACACCAGTGCACCCCACAGCCTTAACTCTGCCCCCAGGAGCTGGCAAGATCTTCAGGGGATATACTGTAGGTATATTTCATCCAAGGCAGCCCTAAAATAAAGCAGACATGAGGAATGACTAAGTAAAAATGAGCCATTTTATATAACAGGTTGTGGGCCACAGAATCATATTCTTTCATTTGTCTGCATGTGTTCCAATTGCCCTTCACTGTGTTAGGGATAGCGGCATTGACTTGGTGAAAGGATTACTTGGAGCTGGTCACCACAGCTCACATGACCATATGAGGAGAGGTGCAGGTGCACCCAGAAATCATGGACCCCTTGTGGCTGGGCTGAGTTATATGAGTTGTGCAGATAGAGGAGTATGACGGTCTGTTCTTGACATGGGGATTTGTAGCAGCCTGGTAGTGTAGAGGAGTGGACTCACCCCTGCGGCGCCTCCTGCTGGTGACTCTGGGAATCAGCTCGTTCAGCATCTGGAGTGCCCTCTACAGGCTGGTGATCCACCTTGTCCCTCACACTGGCCCCCCGTGTCCCTCGCTCTGGGTGCTGCCCCCTGGGAGTACCCCACAGATCTAGGTCTCCCCTCCCTGGGGAACCCCCACCCACTAGCCCCACCTTGCCTCAGTACTAGGCCACTGCCAATCACCAACTAGCCCCCGCTCCCTGGGGCAGACTGCAGTATAGGCCACCCATCACTGGCAAGGGGGGTTTGGACCTGCTGCCTTGGCCTAGCCCTGAGCTGCCCTCTGCAACCCCCAGTACCTGTTGGCCTTATGCTAGGCCACAGACTGGGGCTTTCCAGGCTGGAGCTCCCCAGCCCTGCTCCACTCAGGTACCCTACCTCTAGGTCCCTGCAGCCAAGCCCTTCTCTCTCTGAAGGCAGAGAGAGACTACTTGGCCTCTGGCTCACAGCCTTTTTATATAGGGCCAGCTGTGGCCTGATTGGGGCGTGGCCCAGCTGCGGCTGCTTCCCCAATCAGCCCAGCTTTTAGAGTTGCAGCCCTTCCACAGCCCTCCTCCAGGGCAGTTTTAAACCCCTCAGGGCAGGAGCGGGTAGCCATCTGGCTACAGGTAGCAATCATGATAGTGTACTGGAGAGCAGAGGAAGTGAAGCTGATGTTCCTGAGAGAATCCTTAGGACACGGGCCATAGAGTGGTAATATCTAGTAGCTCTGGGTTGATTTGTACATAGTAGGTGAAGTGGTTGAATACAGGCCAGGTATAGCCAGGTGAAGTATGCTCTAAATGCAGTTTTTGCTGTAGAACACAGTCTGACAGATTCTCCTATTGTACCCACATGCTGTGTCCCTGCACTTTCCTATATCCTCTGGAAGGATAGAATGCTACAATGTCTGTCATGGGTGGGCTGGGGTATCATTCAAAGACAGGAGAGTTAAGGTTGTGGGATGATGCTGGTATATACTTTAACTCTATATATCCTGGTTTTAAGAGGTTTGAGAATAGGTGCATTTGATGTTCTGGAAGCAGGAACTGGTGGTCAACCTCAGTTCTACAGTAACCAAGTTTTTGGGTTACAAATTTCCCTTGTTTTTTGAGGAGGTGGGTTGTAGTTAAGTGGCACCTATGGAGGGGCACAAAGAGGCTTCCTGGGAACACCTCACTGCTATTCAACTACTAGCTTTACCTTTCTCCTGACTCCTCCAGACCCTCAATCTGGGAAGGAGGCTCCGTACTCCATTTCAGGGTGAGGGTAGGGGAAGGAGCTCTGCACAACCCTCTACATCATGAGAGATTTGCAAAGGAATTAAGTGGTTCATTCGTCTCCATGGGTTGTTCTCAAATGAATCGGAACACCCCATGGAGATTAATTCAACCTGACACAATCGCTCTGAGGGTTGTGAACTGACCCATTCATCTCAATGGGAGTTCTTCCCCCTGTTGTGGATTACTAGTTTTCAAGACAATCTCACTATGCACATGGCTTTTAGAGTAATTTGAATATTAAAAGCAGCTCCTTAGTTGGGGAGAGGGCGGTATCTGATTACAAGTAAGGGGTTCTTCACCATGGCTAGGGCCCCCTAAGTGCTACAGTAATACAAACAATAAAAAATGGTGGTATACCCAATCAGAGAGCAAAAACAAAACTACATGCCTTAATTGCCCAGTTACACACCGCAAATAGCAAAAGACCTACTCTAAGTCAACAGCCTATTGGCTGAAATATATTTACATAAGGTTTTAATCAAACAATTATCAATAACAAATAAATCCATAAAAATCCAAGTCTGTTAGCAGATAATTCACAAACAGAAAAAGGGGCTACATTCCTCAGTTAAATTGTTTACTATGAGTACTTCATTTAGCTCTAGTTGCAAGTTTCTATCACAAACTCATATGAATGCTCTTGTACAGGGCCGCCCGGGGGGGGGAGGGGGGCAAGTGGGGCAATTTGCCCCAGACCCCGCAGGGGCCCCCACAAGAATGTTGGAAGCTCCCCCCGCCTCTGCCTGCCCCCATCCCCCTCAGCGCGCCGTGTCCAGGAGCGGCCCTGGACCGATGATAGAGTCTCTCCCACCATGGACACTGTTAAACCATCTGCAATAGAGATGACTTATCATTGGAATTCATAAAAGAACTTCTGAAGACCAAATGGCAGGTACCTTTGCCAAGCAGGGTGCTTCCTGGGCTGGTATTCACCCCACTCCACACTCTTACCAATTACACAACTTCTGCGGCTATCGATATATTTCGTATTTCCATCTACAAAATCTCAGGAGTTGTGTTCCTCTTGGACAAAGTGCAGATTACAAAGCCTGGAATGAGACGCAAGATGGTTGGGGACACAGCACCATCAATTGAGGGGATCAAGCTGTGGTACAAACTTCCAGAAGAGATTAGATGAATCCACAGTCTGACCACTTTTAGGAAATTCTGCACAACATTCCTACTTGATACAGCTTTTACACCATAAGAAGAATGGCACTCACAGCATCAACCACCCCTTTCTAACCCCACATTCCTCCTCTTTCCCCTATCCCAAAAGTGAGACCCTACCCTAAGCAGAGCTTTCTATAACTTGAAAGGGGGCAGAGCCAGTCTCCATGAAGATCTGTAGGGACATCCCTGCTGCCAATCTGATTAATATAGAAGGCACTCCTCAGATATTATGGTGCTGAGTGACAGTACAAAACCATACACGTGATTAATGTTTTTTCACGTGAAGTTCACTAACTACATGTGTGTTTGCCACATGGTGAACTACTTCCCTCCTTGGGAGACAGCATGGAAGTACTTTGTTTTAAATGGGTAACCAAATGAGTAGATTCTCCAGTCCTGCTCACTCTCTCTGTGGGTTTGTGCCTGCGAAATGAATAGGAATATTGCCATGGACTTCAGTGGGAGGACAATCAGGCACTGTAAGCATTATGTGTTATCCCTGTTACGTTGGACTGATCGCTGCCAAAGTGGGTAAGTTTTATAGAAGCCACCTTCAGGCACCTATTTGTGAGCATGTTTAGCATAGAATCACATTATGCTGGCTATGCAATTCAGGGAGAGATAACCTGTGCTTATACACTGTCAGAATTTTGCCCATATAGACTATTCTAGAGGCAGAGTCTTACCATAGTCTGTTGGTTCAAAGAAATTAAAAGCCGGGCTAAATTTTCAAATATGGTCTCCTATGTAGATGCTGCCAAATAATAATAATGTGTGTGCATCCATGTCCTGCACAAAACATGCAGTCATGTGCACGGACCAATATTTCTGAGCACATTTAGCTCATTTCTTTGGCATGACAGTGCAGGCTTTGTGTGTGTAACAAATATGCAGGCACTTTTTTTTTTTTTCAAGGGCACAACTTGGACAACTACATTTGAATATCTGGCCTTTGAGTAGGTGTCTTTTTTTCACATTACTAATGTCTTCCTCTGAAATGAAAACTCATTCCTGGACCTTCATGACAGAAAGTTCTGTGCAAAAACATGGGGAACATGTGGGCTTTGTTAGACAAAACTCTGTCCCCTGTTTTTTTTAATGTTCAGTTCCCCCTGTGTCTTGTAGAGGCTATACTGATTCTAATGATGCCATATGATGCTTATGACTAAGACTTCTCTTATTTAGCATCTTGTAGGTCCTTGATAGCTCACTTACCCTCTTCCCTCAATAATTGTTTTTTTCAGCAAATAAATTAATGAAGTGTGTGTGTGTGTGTGTGTGTATGCAAGTGCATACACAATTATATTTGTTGGAGGGCAGTTAATTAAAATGTCTCTTATTTGTGGCTCCTTTGAGAAGCCCTGGGTTTTAAAATCCTGCTACAGAAACACTTAGAAGGTTACCACAGATACAGTTGTCACAGAAAATGGACACTGTTGTTTAGTATTAAAATCATGTATTCCAGATGTGGGCATTTGTTAGTCAGTCTACTCTAAAATGACATACTGCTGAATCTTTAAAGGGCTTCAGTTTGGGAAAGCAAAATATGATTGGGCAAATTGCTAAAATATTTAAAGTGCAGCCTGTTAAAGCTTTTACTGTGAAGAGCATCACGTCAGAAGTTGTATGTGGTAAAAGCAAGTAATTGGCTTTCCATACTTCTGCCAGTCAGTCAGCATGGGGCTCTGTTCCGATCCCTTCTACTTCATTGCAGATGCTAATAGCAACTCTTTTGATATTATTTTTTGGAGGGATGGTAGCGGGAAGAAAGAATATTTATGAACATGAATGTGACAAACCATTTTAAAATCAACTGAAAAGCTTATTGAAAATCTTCCAGGCCCCAACCCAACATTTAAAAACTTTTTTTCTTCTTTTATTAGCTTTTTTCCCCTAAGGCAGGTGTGTTGAAAACATCTGTTTAAATGTAAATAAATTTCATTTTTGACTTTTATCCCTGTTTCGATATAGCTCTTGGGATATTTTCCCATCCATAATTCATAATATTTTCCACTTACATTATCTGTGACTTGTTTTTTTTTTTCCCTAGGCATGACCCCTTGTTAATTCCCGGCAATGAGCAGATTGACAACATGGATGCCAGTGTGAAAAAATATGACTCCACGGGGATGTTTCATTGGTGTCCAGGAAAGGACATTGAAAAGGTCATTTTGGTGGGTGCCTTAAAAGAATGTCTTACAAAGTTCCATCCAAAGAGAGCCCATTTAGACAATAGGAATGTGAGATGTTTAATGGGTTAACATAGTTATCTATATCATTTAAAAAAACCATTGTACTGAAATCAGAAATGCAATATGGATGGATTTTGAGCCATCATTCTGGCAAACCCTGGTGGGTATATTAGCCTATAACCCTACATACTTCACTGAAAATTGGCCCCAAATCCTGAGACTACATTTTCATATGGGTTAATGGGACTACTCAGAAGCTTAAAATTATACATGTGCTTCAGATCTTTGTAGGATCAGAGCTATGGTGACCATTCACCATGTACCATTCATCTCTTTGAAACAAGGTGCTAATGCATTATTCCTTATTAGTCAATGGGAATTTTCCCCTATTTAAATTTATCGCTTGGTTTTCAACGTGTTAAAGCACTCAAACAAGCCTGAGTAAATGGTACTGCTATTCTACCCATCTAACATAGTGTACTGGGTCTAGTGTGTATTCATTTCATTTGTTAAAGTGGGAGGGCCATCAAACTGACTCAAGTAATTAAAAATAATTAGAAGGCCTATCACAATCTGTTACATTCAGTGAAAGTTTGTGCTGTTTGTGTTCATGTACTCATACCTAAGAGTAACAAGTAACTAACTCCAGATCTCAAACACAAAACTGATGATATATGAAATGAGTTCCCTGGTGGATCTTCACTTTGTCGCAGTTTATAAAGCTTTTCTTGAGATTGCTGTCTTCGTTTTCCCTGTGCTATTGCATGGTGTAACCAATAATGGTGACAGCCCTGGTTTATTCTAACGATCGGGGCATAAAAGGTTGTTTCCTGTGCTCCTCAGGGGTTGCTATAATAACCGTGACATTGTTTGGAACTGCAATATTGGCATTTAAACAATCAATAAACTAGTCAATTCCAGTGACTAAATTGTTAGCCAGAGTTTGGTCTGAACATTTTAAATTAATATTCATTCCAGGGTATTCAGTAGGCCATGAGGGGCAACCTTACTGTCCATTACTTCATAACACAGAGGGATCACTATGTATTGCATTATAACAGAGGGAGACAGAGATCAGCTGTAATATTTTAAATATTTTTAACAGATCAGTCAGGGATGACCTTAACATGTTCTTCTACTGTGAAAAGTGTTCCTATACAAATGGCATTGTGGGGTTTCCTCATTTATTATTTCTTCTTGACTCCATATCAGTTTTTCTCTGTTTGCAAGTAAATAGATGTGGGCTTTTCCCCCATAACTGTCTGCTCTGTAAACTCAAACCTACAAGTTTGGCTGAGTTCTTTCTTGTTCCATGCATCATCACCAGTGATAAAGATCCTGCGAGCAAAAGACTGCCCTCACTTACTCCTGTCCACTGTCCACAAATTATGTCTGTGCGTACGTCGGTGCAACCTTACTGCATAAGTGCAAATGAGGGCATAATTTGAAGACGATGGGGTTGCGCAGATTGTCCTATAATTGGAAGTTGTTTAAACAATTGTGTTGATGATGCCTGAACCAGAAAAGAATTCACTTCTCTGCCCCAGAGCTGTGTTGGCTGTGCAGGGCTGACAGCAGTATAAGGCATGTGTCACTCAAGTAAGCGGACATGACTTTGAACCTACCTAGGGATTAGGTTTGTCAAGTGGGAAAGTACCATTTTTACATACATATCTTTCAGACAAGAACCATAATTTGGGTTCAGTCTTGTAAGGTCCTGATTCAGCAAAGCACTTATGCACATGCATGGGACTACTCATGTGCTTCAAGTTAAGTGCATGTTTAAATGTTTTGCAGTATCAAAGCCAAGGTGCTCAGCATCTTGCAGGATTGAGTCCTTAAATATTTTTAATGTGAAAGCCCCATTCTGCTCTCAGTTACCTGAAAATTAATGGAGTTGTAGCAGTGCAACTGAAAGCAGAATATGTTTTTTTTTAAACTGACGAGAAACCTTTTGGCCAAAACTGCTCCATAGTGAGTACCTCTGCACTATATTCTACATTTGCATTCCATGCAGTCTGTGTAAAGAATAAGCAGCAGGGAGCCACAGCTTAGTGAAAAGATTTACTCTATGGATTAACAAAAAGAAAAATTTACTGTTTGCTGGCTTCAATAAATGTGCTACTTTGAACATAAGAACGACCATACTGAGTCAGACTCATGGTCTATCTAGTCCATCCTATCTTCTGACAGTGGGCAGTATCAGAGGCTTCAGAAGGAATGAACAGAACAGACCAGGACAGTTTATTGAGTGATCCATCCCTTGTCGTCCAGTCCCAGCTTCTGACCATCAGAGGTTTTGGGACCCAGAGCATGGGGTTGCATACCTGACCATCTTGGCTAATAACCATTGATGGACCTATACTCCATTAAATGTTTTTATTCATCAATTCTTCACAGCCCATAGCTAAGTTTTGTTGAATATCCACCTCACTGGCATCATAATTTTGATGCACATAGGATGATATCCATTAGTGGAATGCAACAGCACCAAGACTGGATCCAGATATGAAAGTCATCATCAGCTAATGACTTTACTTAATAGTCATCTGAATGTGTGAGCTGCCTTCAAGACTGACTGGGATTACAGCACAAATTTAACCTCTCTCATTGAGATAAGCAGATAATTCTGAACACCATTTAGAAGTGCTTCATCAGATTCTTCCTTCCATCCCCTCAGTTGTTCTTGTCAATGAAAAGTCACTATTAGTCAAGTTCTTGCACCATGGCTATTTCTGACTTCCAGAAGAAGCCTCTGGTGTAAACTAAAACAGCACAGAGGCTACTCCAATTTACACTAAGGATGGTGCTGGTGGTAGCTTGTCCAAGGACATAGGGGAGATCTTTGAGTCCTCCCCTGAGCTGCACCAAGCACAGCTCAGTCACAGGCTCAGATCCTGGACTATAGTCTTAAAACATTTACACACACACAAATCTATAAATCTACAAGAACAGCTTAAAACATTTGGGGCCTGATTCTCATTTACACTAAGGCTCCTTACATTGCTGGGTAAAGGGATGTGCAAGAGGCTGAACATTCCATTAGCTCAGACCCACCAACACTGTTATGAAATGGCAGTGAGCTGGAAAAGCATTCTGGGTTTTGACATTCTCATTTTGCTACAGGAGCTTTAGAACGACTCCTGGCAGTCCAAGAAAAACACTTTGGACCAGGGAATATTTTACTTATGCCAGCTATAAACTTTGGAAGCAAACCGAAAATTCTGGGTGTGGACAAATAGAATCCTTTTCAATATGCTTTTGCAGCCAGAGTTGTTGGAAGTGTTTCCCCACATCTAAGGGGATCTGATTCTGCTGTCACACCAGTGTCAATCAGGAGTTACTGCATTAAAGTCAGCAGAGTCAGAGTGATGTAAGTATAACCAATGAGAGAGAAGACTCAGACCTTTAGCCTCCAGACCTTATTGTGTTTGAGTTGTGGTTTGTTTCCCACACTCCCTCCATTTATACCCTCATTCTCCAGTTGTGGACACATTATCCTGAATATAGTCACTTTATTCTTTTTCAGGTTGACCACTGTTTGCTTCTTAACTGGTTGTATTTTACAATTCACAACTATTCTTTTTACTCCTCATACTAGAACATAAAGATTTGCTGTGCTAGAGCAGTGCAGATTTGAATACCAAAGTTAAGCCATCAGTATCCCGAACAGGTCCCTTTGCACCAAAATGAGAGTAGCAGAAAGATACATTCTTCAATGCTTCTCATTAGGTTAAAATCTCCCTCATCCCCCCAGTCTGCCTTTTCTCTTAGTTTTTAATTACTAGTTCATCTTAAACGCAAAAAAGAAGCTTACAAGAAGTGGAAGATTAGACAAATGACCAGGGAGGAGTATAAAAATATTGCTCAGGCATGCAGGAGTGAAATCAGGAAGGCCAAATCACACTTGGAGTTGCAGCTAGCAAGAGATGTTAAGAGTAACAAGAAGGGTTTCTTCAGGTATGTTAGCAAGAAGAAGAAAGTCAAGGAAAGTGTGGGCCCCTTACTGAATGAGGGAGGCAACTTAGTGACCGAGGATGTGGAAAAAGCTAATGTACTCAATGCTTTTTTTGCCTCTGTCTTCACGAACAAGGTCAGCTCCCAGACTGCTGCACTGGGCAGCACAATATGGGGAGAAGGTGACCAGCCCTCTGTGGAGAAAGAAGTGGTTCAGGACTATTTAGAAAAACTGGACGTGCACAAGTCCATGGGGCCGGATGCGCTGCATCCGAGGGTGCTAAAGGAGTTGGCGGATGAGATTGCAGAGCCATTAGCCATTATTTTTGAAAACTCATGGCGATCGGGGGAGGTCCCGGATGACTGGAAAAAGGCTAATGTAGTGCCCATCTTTAAAAAAGGGAAGAAGGAGGATCCGGGGAACTACAGGCCAGTCAGCCTCACCTCAGTCCCTGGAAAAATCATGGAGCAGGTCCTCAAGGAATCAATTATGAAACACTGAGAGAAGAGGAAAGTGATCAGGAATAGTCAGCAGGGATTCAACAAGGGCAAGTCATGCCTGACTAACCTAATTGCCTTCTATGATGAGATAACTGGCTCTGTGGATGAGGGGAAAGCAGTGGATGTGTTATTCCTTGACTTTAGCAAAACTTTTGATACGGTCTCCCACAGTATTCTTGCTGCCAAGTTAAAGAACTATGGGCTAGATGAATGGACTGTAAGGTGGATAGAAAGCTGGCTAGATCGTCGGGCTCAACGGGTAGTGATCAATGGCTCCATGTCTAGTCAGCAGCCGGTTTCAAGCGGAGTGCCCCAAGGGTCGGTCCTGGGGCCGGTTTTGTTTAATATCTTTATTAATGATCTGGAGGATGGTGTGGACTGCACTCTCAGCTAGGGTGACCAGACAACACTTGCCGCATATGCCCAGGTGGGAGGCTCCGCGGGAGGGCAGCGCGCGCGGCCGGGGCCTGCTAATGCCCCAGGCCCCTTTGAAACTCCTTTTTTTTTTTTTTTTTGCTCCCCCATCCCGATATTTTATAGTGCTATAGTCACCCTACTCTCAGCAAGTTTGCAGATGACACTAAACTGGGAGGCGTGGTACACTAGAGGGTAGGGATCGGATACAGAGGGACCTAGACAAATTAGAGGATTGGGCCAAAAAAAAACCTGATGAGGTTCAACAAGGACAAGTGCAGAGTCCTGCACTTAGGACGGAAGAATCCCATGCACTGCTACAGACTAGGGACCGAATGGCTGGGTAGCAGTTCTGCAGAAAAGGACCTAGGGGTCACAGTGGACGAGAAGCTGGATATGAGTCAACAGTGTGCTCTTGTTGCCAAAGGCTAACGGCATTTTGGGCTGTATAAGTAGGGGCATTGCCAGCAGATCGAGGAACGTGATCGTTCCCCTTTATTCGACATTGGTGAGGCCTCATCTGGAATACTGTGTCCAGTTTTGGGCCCCACACTACAAGAAGGATGTGGAAAAATTGGAAAGAGTCCAGTGGAGGGCAACAAAAATGATTAGGGGTCTGGAGCACATGACTTATGAGGAGAGGCTGAGGGAACTGGGATTGTTTAGTCTCCAGAAGAGAAGAATGAGGGGGGATTTGATAGCTGCTTTCAACTACCTGAGGGGGGTTCCAAAGAGGATGGAGCTCAGCTGTTCTCAGTGGTGGCAGATGACAGAACAAGGAGCAATGGTCTCAAGTTGCAGTGGGGGAGGTCTAGGTTGGATATTAGGAAAAACTTTTTCACTAGGAGGGTGGTGAAGCACTGGAATGCGTTACCTAGGGAGGTGGTGGAGTCTCCTTCTTTGGAGGTTTTTAAGGCCCGGCTTGACAAAGCCCTGGCTGGGATGATTTAGTTGGGAATTGGTCCTGCTTTGAGCAGGGGCTTGGACTAGATGACCTCCTGAGGTCCCTTCCAACCCTGATATTCTGTGATTCTATGATTCATACAGTAGAGTGTCCTGAACTCTGAAATAAATCCACCATCAAATCACCAAATGCATGATGGGGGAAATTTAGCCCTCAGTTAAATCCAGAGTAACTCCAATAAATAGAGTGCTACAGGTTTATACCAACATATCTGAGCCCAGAATTTGTTCATATATGTCTGCATTATACTGTCTGGGCTTGTCTACCTTTAAAATGCTACAGCAGCATAGCTGTAGCACTTCAGTGTAAGCACTGTTTATGCCCATTGGAGAGGTTCTCTCATTGGCATAGGTAATCCACTTCTGTGAGTGGCAGTAGCTAGGTTGAGGGAAGAATTTTTCCATCGACCTAGCACTTTTTACATGGGGACTTAGGTCAGCTTAACTATGCCGCTCAGGGGTGTGGCATAGTTTACACTGGTCACATCTTTGACCGATGTAGTTAAACCGACCTAATTTTCTGATGTAGACCAGGCCTCTGCCTGTGAACTGCAAGCTCCTGGTGGCAAGGATCATGTCTCCCTCTGTCTATACAGCACTGACCACACTCCATGCAAGATAAATAATAAATATAATAATGAATTACTAATGTCATCCTGCTTCACTGTGCATGAATGATATTGACAAGAAAGTACATTTTTCTTGGTTTAGAATTCAGTTTATGATTTATGCTTCTTTTTGCTTTATCTCCCCCTTCCCTTATTGTTTTTTCCCCCCCAGACACGGAGTGAAGCAGCGATGACAGTTTTAAGTGGTCATGTGGTCGTTTGCATATTCGGGGATGCTAAGTCTGCATTGATTGGAGTAAGAAATCTAGTGATGCCATTACGAGCCAGCAACTTTCACTACCATGAACTCAAGCACATTGTGTTTGTGGGTTCACTTGAATATCTGAAAAGGGAATGGGAGACGCTACATAACTTCCCCAAGGTTTCAATCTTGCCTGTAAGTCCAAAACCACAATATTGATACTTTTTTTTTTTTTTTTACTTAGACACCAACTGGACAGATTCGTATTGACTTTGATCATAGGCTTTTACTTTTGTCTGTTTATAGGCCTCAGGACTTAGCCCTTCCCCTTTACTATATCTATGAAAACTGAGCCCTGAGAGACCTTATTAGAAGAAATTTGCAGCACTGTTCAGTCCCTTGTCAAGGATGAATTTCAGCTGCTATCAAATGTATTAGCTGCGTTATCTATTGAACATTCACTCTAGTGCCCTGCGTGTAGCCAGTTCTGATGTTGTGATTTTTCTGACAGAATGACAGTACTTACTTATGACATTATTTATGCCTGGAAAACCTTTGAAAACAATTTTTATTATTTGTCTATCTATCTATAACTGTAAAGGCTTGATACATGCTGGCCTGCAAGCTCTCTTGTATATAAGAGAATGATCATCGCATTTTCATTAAGAGCCCTTCCTTTTAAAAAGGGTTCACAGTTTGGTGGTAAGCATTTACTAAATACAGTGCGTGAAAACCTGGTCCCTTTAATAATAATGGTAAAACACCCATTGACTTCAGTGGGGTCAAGATTTCATCCTCTGAGTCCAAAATTCAAAGGGCCTGATTCTCCATTCTCTCATATCATCATTCACACTTGTGCAGTGAGTGCAGAATGCTACCTCCAGTGTAAGTGAATGATTAATTCCAGTTCAGTATGGTTTTACCACCCACGGGTGTAAATGACTTCACAAAGCACAAGCAATGGAGACTCAGGCCCTTGGTTTGATAGCAGAAGTGATGCTCTGTGCTTTACAAAAGTTCAGTAAAGCAAGCTTGGCTGTTCTATTGTTTCAGCTTTTGGAATTCTTTAATCCTTACTTACCAGAATAAAAAAGTAGAATACAAGTTTACCATTTTTAGAATTTTTTTTTTTTTACTAACAAAAATGCAAAGCCCAGAAGCTCTCAGAGACCAATGATACATTTAGCCTAATGTGGGTACGGATTACAGCATTTATTGAATGGAAAGGCAGCTTTGCCCAATATATGCTGCAATTCATGGTTACTCCAAAGCTAAGATTTGTTGTTAATCTTTGTTTCTGTTCTGCAATTGCTGTACAGCGACATGGCATAGTTCTGTATTTAGTGCCTCACAAATGGCTTCAAGATCAAATTTTCCCTGTGAAAGATTTTTTTTCCCCATAACTGCCAGCCCTGCAAATTCAGCCTGACATCTGAAAGTCAAGCCTCTTACCAGTAATAAAGATTCAGCAATCAGAACTTAGATGATAATATTCTTGATGATGTGTGAGAGAGCAGAATCCAGCTGTTACTACAGACCTATCCAATGTGAAATGTTATTTTTGTTAACAAAATAAGGAGATATTGTAAGGTTTTGATCCTTAGATCAAAAGACTCAAATTTTGCTCCCTTGTACATATGCTTTATGATTCGGTTTTGAATTACGTGATTACACACTACTTTTTTTTCTATGGGACCACTGCCTCATTTAGTATGAAGGATGGACACACATTGGGCAGAATTAACGTTGCATGAAAACTTTAAATCAGGCATTTCCTAACTTTTGAGTGCCTGACTTTGCAACGTAAATAATGTTCTTCCAATGTATGTGTGGGAGGGGAGGGAAGATATGTAGTATGAATAAAGGACTGCAGCAGTAGGCCCATGTTCTTGTGTGAAAGCTCAGATAGTCGGCCTTGTGCCTGAAACTAGCACAGACACAAACATTGAATTAGTTTTCCTTTACAAGCTTCCTGGAGTTGTGCACTGGGCTGTGACTTGGGCTCTGCAAACTAGGGCACCATGCTTTTCACCAGGCTTAAAATTCAGTCATCTTGTTTCTCCTAGAAGACGCTGTGGCTATGATCTGCAGCAGGTTGCTGCTGATCTGCCTTGGAGAACCACCTCCCTTTGGGGGATGTTGGTGAGGGATTTGGGGGGAGATTTTTCAAGGGCACAAACAGGAGTTGGGTGCCTAAATTCTATTGACTTTGAATGGAGTTGGGGCTCCTAACTGCCCTTTGTGCCATTCAAAATCTTCTTCTTGAAAATGCTCCATGGAGATCAGCAGATATCATCCTTCCTGACTGTTCTGCATGAATGACCATGAGGTGAGGGGTTGGGGTCTTGTCACTCAGTGTTTAAGGAAGTTGGGGCTGGGCTCTGGGGACCCAGGGACACAACTCACACAAAGGGAATGTTTAGTGTCTCCATCAGCATTAGGGTCTGTGGGTACCAATCTGTGGAAGCTGACTGAGCTGTGCCTGGCACACACATAAACCCACTTTTTATTGCACAGGGCTCTGAGTACTGCCCCTGCTACCTAGACATAGTACCTTTTGCCTTAAATAGTCCATATCTTAAGTTTCAGAGTAAGTATTGTCTTGTGTATAAAATGTAGCAGGTTAAGTGTTGTATCTTGGTTGCCTTAGTTATGAAAAAAAAAACCCCACTAACTACCACAACATTTCATTTTAAATACTGCATTCTCTGATAGGTAATTGTAGCTCCAGGAAATATTATATGAATTGTGCACATTAACTTAACATCCTGTTTCTGTTTCAAAGGGTTTAATCACATAACTTTAAATATCAGTGTGTTTTGTTGGTAGAAGCACCAAAAACATGTATTGGAAAGGATTAACCTTTCTTGTGTATTGCTCCAGGTAGTACACATTTTAGAAAAATAGCTTCATCTTGATTGCAGTTAGAATGTGTAGGACACACAAAGCTTTCCTGTTTAAATTGTTATTTTTTTTTTGCCCGAGACCTGTATGACCTGATATTAGATAAACAGACATTTAGAACACACCCCTCATTATGTTCAGAAAGCCAGAGGTTGCCACATATAGTGACTTAAATCAAGACAATTTCAAGTCACAGATGAGATGTAGAATGCTGGCATTATTCCTATTTCTTGTTTGTTAGTAATAGCTTGACTGAGTATTGAGACTGAACCTAAAATGCTGCCATCAGCACCAACTACCCTTTAGATTAGCACACATCTCCTATTCTCTGGCACATAGTTAGACCAGCTTAATGTCAGAGCATAAAGAAGATACTTGTTAAATAATTTCCCAAAGCTCCTTCTCAATCTTTAATTTGTTTTTCTTTTTTTCCCTCTCTCTCTCCCCCCCACCCTCTTTTTTTTCACTATGCCGAAGGGTACACCATTAAGTCGGGCTGATTTAAGGGCTGTCAACATCAACCTCTGCGACATGTGCGTTATCCTGTCAGCCAATCAGAATAATATTGATGATGCTTCGCTGCAGGACAAGGAATGCATCTTGGCGTCACTCAACATCAAATCTATGCAGTTTGATGACAGCATTGGGGTCTTGCAGGCTAATTCCCAAGGTAAGGACTGCCCTATAATACTTCTCTGCCATGCCTACAGGGGACAGGACCTGGCAGGAAGAATATCCCTCACTCAGTAATTCAAAGAACCTTACATCAGCTTGCTTGACAGTTAAACCTGCTGATTGGTATGATGGCTTTTAAAGGGACAGTCACATAGTTTCCCTGCTGTATCACAAAGGAAATCTGGAGCAGTGGGGAATGAATGAACCAAGATTTTAATTTTTAAATGTGTTGATCTTTCCTTTTTTCTTTTTTTCCCTTTCATCGCTGATTGCTAAATCCACACGATTCTGTGCTTTTTAGTTCCACCAAATAAAGTTGCATTGTTACACATGACATAGCCAGAGATGGCTTATCTTCACTCTGGATGCAAAGTGGCATGATGGCAAATGCTGGCTGACAGGGTTGTTTGCTGTGTACGCCAGACGGCAGCCAAGAAATAGCCAAATGCCACACGGCAAAAAAGAAAAGGAAAAAAAGACAATTTAAACAGAGGTTTCTTTACATTTTCTGTGCTTTCTTGCTCAAAAAGCCCCCCAGAATGAACTCAAAACTGATTTCTGCCCTTGGATTGGCAAGCACAGCTCCCATAAAGGCATGGAACAAATCCTACAGTCTTCACTGAAGTCTACGGGCCTGATTCATAAGTACCCCAAGGCCATTTTACACCAACTATGCTGGTAAGCAGGCCTGAGGGCATGTCTTCACTACCCGCCGATCCAGCGGGTAGCAATCGGTCTATCGGGGATCGACTTACCGCGTCTAGTGAAGACGCGGTAAAATCGATCCCTGATCGCTCTGCCGTCGACTCCGGAAATCCACCTCGGCAAGAGGCGGCAGCGGAGTCAGCAGCAGTGCGGCAGCGGTCGACTTTCCCGCGTCCTCACCGCCAGGTAAGCCGACCTAAAATACGCAACTTCAGCTACGGTATTCACGTAGCTGAAGTTGCGTATCTTAGGTCGGACCCCCGCTGTAGTGTAGACCCAGCCTAAGACACCCTATCTAATACCCTCAGTGTAGATCCAGCCATCTTTAGTCCCTGCAGAAGTGCAGGCAAGAGTGGCCTCTGTTAAACCTTTTAAAATGATGCAGTGAGTTATCCTGTAAGCACCAACCTTGTGCAGTACTTACCCTCGAGGTACACAAGAACTGAGATTAAGACTCATCCGTGCATAGAGAGCATGGCTGGAAGGAAGGCCTCTTGTGACCTCTCCTTGCTGCTCTGTACAGTTTAGCACAAAATCCGTACTTGGGCTGAACTGTCACCGAAGTTAATGCAGTTAAGCCTGAACAAGGAGTGCGGGATTAGGCCCCGTAGGAGTGTCCCTCAAGAGCCTAATGACAGAATGAAAACCTAAAGCACATTGGTAAACTGATAGATTTAGAACCATGTTCTCAAATGGTGGGATTGTGAATGCTGGCACAAGAACCACTTGCTCATCTCAAATGTCATCAGCAGCAGTGGAGGAAGGAGTTCTGAATCAGATCCAAACCTTTGTAACTCCTTGTACATGGGCTAGCGAATATACCTTGTGTGAAAAAGTAATTACACTGTGGAACTCATTGCCACAGGATATCACAGAGGCCAAGAATTTAGCATGATTCAGAGGGATTGGATATTTATATGGGTCACAAGCGGGAGAGATGAAATTTCATGCTCCAGAGTTTAAGCCAATCTGTAACTATTAGTCATTAGGATAAGACCTCCCTAGTGGGGCTGCCTGCTGTGGGGTTTCTTACACCTTTGTCCGAAACATCTGCTGCTGGCTGGGATATTGGACTAGCGGGACCATGGGTGTGATCTAGTATGGCAGTTCCTTCCAGAAGGTGTGCAAATAGTAATGGAGGGGACCAGTGTTTGTTTTGATGTATTTGTTTGTTTTTTAATGGTCATAGAGCAGATAGTTTCCCCCCCGTGATCTGGCCTCCTTCCATAGGCTGGTGCAGAAGGGAACAGTTTGGTTATAACACATGGCCCTCCCCAACAATGTGCTGATCAGGAGCAAGCAGGGGAAATTTCTTCCCAGCCTTGTGCGCAAGACCGGGGGTTCACAATCTGGGACTTAAAGTGTAGACTCAATGGAAGCTTATCATAGCTCTCAGCTGGCACACACCTTTGTTTGCTGTGTGCATGAATCAGTCAGCATTCCCATCAAATGTTCCCTGGATCACGTAGCTCCTGAGCGGCAACATCCAAAGGAACAGAAAGTATCTGATCAGTCTGGTGCAGTCACAGACACATAATGTCACATGACACCAAGACAGGAAAAGGATATCCAGAGGGAAGAATCTGGGCAAGAGGGACCAGGCAAACTAGGAAAAACAATGTTCACCGGAGGCAAATCAACTGAGGATAGCTGCAGAGGAGAAATCAAACTAACACACAGCCATAGCTTTCTCGAATTTCCATCACTGCAAGCACAACAAACTTCCAATCAGTTAGCAACATCACAGTAACTCACTGGCCACTCACAGTGCCAGCTGTCCAGAAATAACCCATGCCACCTAGTGAAAACAGTAGAAAAGTGGCACAGTGACATGGAAGAAAGGACTATGCCCTGCCAAGAGTTTCTTGCAGGCAGTAGAAGACAACAAAGGTCCCAGGACCCCAAACATCACTGTTAACCAGCTTTTATCATTCTACAGCCCTTTAAACTCATCCGTGAATCCATCATTACCAACATCTGAGCCTGACGCTGCAATGGTAGCATTACTTCTCAGCATCTGGGGCTGTCGGGGAAGGCTTGCTTTCCTATCCCACTGAATGGTTTTTTTTCATTTGTGGCTCATATAGATTATTTGGACATGTGGAAGCTCCATTTTTAAAATCAGGCCTCCTTTCTGATTGCACCCACAATCTAAATAGTTGTGTTTCATGCACGTCACCTTAGCTCCATGTTGCTATGCTTATTGTGCTTATGTGTATATTATTACATAAGCTAAGCAAGCTCACATCCTTATCCTTCTCTAATCATGCTTGGGTTTGTTTTATTTTTATTTTAAATTCTATCTCCCTCCCTGCTGTAAGAGACCCCCTCCGTTTTGGCTAGCCCTATTTAGGATGGCTAAAGAGCAGAAGCCTCCCCGTTGTGTCCCAGCATTGAGGTTAGCAACAATCCCAGTCCTTGTATTCTTTGCGTGGAAAGATTCTGCCAGTGTAGAGAGGAATTTTCCCTCCCAGCAGGAACCACAAAAGTCCCAAATAAGGGGATACAAAGTTGGCTTTTTCAGAACAGAACTTCAGCCACAGTGCCATGACCGCGAGTCAGAAATGGTGGAGTGGGGTCATAGTCTAACCCTTCTTGGCACCATTCAGTGGAGGAGGAGTGGATTATGCTGTCTTTTATAAGAGGCTTGGGGGAGTTCCCACTGCAGCACACACTCCCCAGTGCCCCTGGACACATTCTTCAGGCAAAGATCCATGTGCATTTTAAACACATGGCAGGTTTATACAGCTTTTCCATGGAAGCAGACTTTTCTATGCATGCTGACTGCAGAATTTGGCCAATGACTTATTCCTCTGGCAACATATTTTAGGAAGGGTGAGAGGGGGTGTTTTAAAAGCAAACTACTGGGTTGGAAAACAGTTACCATCTCAGTGGGTTGCACCATTTACGTATCTACAACTTCTGAATTGGTTACATTGCTTTCAACACAGGAGGTTTTCTTGAAAGATCTTGAATACTATCGCTAGGTTGTCAGACACAATTAGATCAATAGGTGGCATAAACTTTGCAGGGAATTGTATCCAATGTGACATTTTGCCTATGAGATGCAGTTTTAATGTAGAGTAGGCACAACTACAGTGACAATTATATAAAGCAGGTGATCCAGCTTCTGCTGGTCAGCAAACAGTATAACAGAACCACTTTGCGGCTCCTTGTTGGCAACGAAGTGCCTTTATTTACAGTGAGTTGTCACTAGTTTTGCTTAAACATTCGTGTATTATTTAACACACTCATTTATCCAGGAAAACATTTCAATTCACATCAGCCTGTACAACCCCTCACCATTGCCAAACTGGGCTTTTCTAGTTCTGAATATATGGTGTTTGAATTCATACCCAAATAAAGATTACCTTTGATACAGTATTGAAGAGGGAAGAGATAGCTACATATGGATTAGGCGTCCCAATTTTTGACCAGGGAATTTACTTATTAGTTTTTGCAATGCTGTTTAAATAGCATCTGGGGTGTTGCCATGTAATCAGTACAATTCTGTGGTTAATGTTAAGTGCAATCTCACATGCAAAGCTGATGTATAATTTATGCTTGTCCCATCTAAAAAGAAAACAATATATCAATAATTTCATTGATAGGTTTTTCTATGAGCAAGGAATGCCACCTGTTTGTTCATGTGAGGTTTTCCCACCACCTCTGACCCCAGCTCTCCCCCTTCACACAACGACCTTTTCTTTTTAAGTTCTTGGCCTCCCAGAGATTTATTGGAGCAAATATGTTCTGTCTAGGGTGAAGGAGCTTTTGTGACCCAGAAAGAGAACTGAATGTGGTATGCATGTATCTATCATGTCTTCAGTACATTATTTAAGACATATTTGTATGCAAATACTGCTCAAGTTTAGTGCGGTGTGAATTCTGAGGTACCCACTGCCATTGCAAGTAGTCTTTTTTCTGACAGCAGTGTCACTAGAATAAATGTTCATGAGTGGACTTTCAATTTTTGTTTTAATTGACAAAGCTTACAGTTAAATGTTCCCAGGCTTTGAACTTAACTTAGGAAGTCTTTAAACAGCGTGACTAAAAAAATCAGCTTAAAAAGGGGGCAGAGGATATTTAATAATTGTTTGTGCATGTAACGTGTGAATAAATGTAAACACATACTCTATAATCTCAATATTATATATGTGATGGTCCTTGGCCCTCAAATTCAGATCTGGACTCAGGCACAAACTTCCCAAAGTTTCTGGGTATTTTGGGCTTAACTTTTGTAGCACCATTGATAAGTAAGGTTGCCCAACTCTTCTCATTACAAAGACC